AAAAGTGGCAAAGGAGGGGCGAGACTAGCCTGGCCCACAAAAAAGATTTCTTCTAGTCAGAGGAGTTGAAATACCCTTTGCTACGGCAGCATGTATTTGTGAGTTTCGAGCAAGAAAGGATAAACCTCTTTTACCTTGCATAATTGATATGAAAAACGCAAAATTCGAGCTAACAGACAGCATGAGAAATGCTTTTTTTGGAGCTAATAGCGATAAGAAAGATTTTCAATCTCTTAAAATGAACAGGACATTCATTAGCTTAGCTCACAGCGTAATGAAGAAGCTGAACATCGGTCACTCATTAGAATACGAAAAATATATCAGAGGACACACAAATGAAGAAACTACAAATATCTATATAGATGTTCCACAGGAACGAGTTGATTTCCTTACCAAACAGTTGTTCAGGAGAGGTTCATTTGGCTATATACCGGATTTATTTGCGAAATTATTATATGGAAAAGAGAACTCATTTGAGACTAGAACCGACCAAATAATGGAAATTAAAAGAGCTATTGGAGGACCAAAAGATTTAGAAAATATCGCTGGATTTATGAACCTTATCGAACAAGAAACGAAACTTGTAGAAGACATACTTAGTGATATGGACGAACAAGAATTATGGGACACATACCATAAAATCGAAACAAATCAAATGAGCGGTAAAGAGGAGTTTTTTCAATGTCTTGTCAGTCAAACTGGATGTGTTTATCCTGGAAAGAGATGTTCGGAGTGTTTATTGTCAATCCCAAACTTTTACGCGTTAAGTACCATATCAAGTCGAATTTTATCTTTAATTGTAGAGTTTAATAATGAGTTTAAGGACGAAACCTTACCAGCAGAGAAAACTCGATTAGCCAATACTCTCCATATGAATTTAAGGCATTTTCAATCCGCTATGGAAAAGTTCGGAAAGGATGAGGTTTACAAGTTTTTAAATATCGAGTCCGAAGTTTTCAAAAAGGCATTACAATCACTTCCTGATAACAAGGATTACTTAACAATTTAAGGGGGAATTTTTATTCTTCAAATTGATGTTACTTATATAGAAATAGAATCTTTAAGTGAGGATATTTTTGATACCAAGGAAAGCGTAATAAAAGCGAAAGAAGACCTTGAATCAATAAGAATAGAATCATCTTATAATGTGTGTAACTTTGAAGAAGATACTTGGTATTTCTTTGATGAATTACAACAAATAGGGGCATATATATATTTTAATACAGACAATATTGAAAAAATTAGCAAGGTAAAGTCCGATGAACTAAAAGTTGTTTTAAAATGTTGGGTCGCAAGTTTAAAGGTAGAAGTAACACCTGGAAGTGTAAGAGATTCATACAAATATTTATTGGATGCTATTAATAGAACCAATTGTTTTGATATAAAGATGATAGAAAATTATTTCGAGTACCTAAACACTGAATTTACAAGTTCAAATATGACCAAGCATCGGTATATAAACAGTGTTCTAAACTTCCTTACATTTTTTGAAGGGATAGATACTGAATCAACATTCACACAGGAACTTATTCAAATAAAGAAAAAGCTAAAAGTTGATAAACGCATAAGAAAACTTCCTTCATCAGCTGATGTTCTCCTATTTTCAAGTGTATTAGATGACTTTTTTCAGAAGATTGACGTTGGTAAAGAAAAGTGGGTTTGTTATTTTCCTGTGCGAATATGGTGGGATTTAACAACAATTATTCCCATGCGGATATCAGAGTTTTGCAATATTGAGCGAAACTGTCTATCGATTGAAAATAATGAATATCGCATTACACTCCCTCGCACCAAACGGAAGGGAAGGGTTCCTATCGTGGATAATATTGCAATACCCAAAGATATTTATCGTATGATAGAAACTTATAAAAATGTCACTAATAAATATGGAGAATCTCTTACATTAATCTCCTATCCTTCATTAATCAGGGAAGGTTTTGGTAGAAGAGATAAGAAAGAAATAAAGAAAATGCATAGGGGTTCATTTAACCAACTTTTAAACTCGTTTTATTCAAATATTGTTGTGGGGGAATATTGCGCTATTGTTGACAGAATGTTGAGACCTAACGATACTAGACATTTAGCTTTTTTGTCTTTAATGACCCAAGGTATACACCCCGTAGAAATCGCTAGGTTAGGGGGACACACTGATTTGAATGCTCAATATCATTATCAACAACACGAAGAATATTGGATTGATTCTGAAGTAGAGAAAATGATGAATAAACTTGATTTCTACGATAATTACAATTTAAATAAACGGAATGATAAAATTGAAGAAAGTGATTATATAAGCTCTAAATTTAAACAGCTAGTTACAGCAAAACCACCTACAACTAAAGGTGTTTATAAAAAACTGAAAACCGGATATTGCACTGATGAGCACCAAAGATGTGTCGAGCATTGTTTTTTCTGTGAACACTGGAGAATTTCCATGGAAGAGTTGGAGGAGAAGAGGGGCATGATATCCAAGAAGAAACAAGAAATACGTAGCAATATAAAAGAAATTTTCCACTTCTTAAAGTCAGTGCATAAAGAAATTTTGACTGAATCAAGGTACGATTTCAATCCTTATATCAATGAAAAACTAGATAATGCTGCAAACTCTTTAAGGGATGAAATTTATAAGATGGCACAAATATGTCGTAGAGAAAGAAGGGATTAATTATGGGAAGGGGGAGAGGTAGACCTTCTAAGTACTACCCTGAAGATGATATAAAAAGAATTATATATGAATATATAGACAAAGAAAGAGTCATAGGTATAGTCACGTATAGGGATGCTTATCGTTTCGCAAAGAAACAATATGAGCTCGGTAATTTCCCACATCAACTTTCAGATGACTTTTGGAGAAAAGAAAATCGACAAGGAAGGAAAGCTGTCGATGAAGCTAATAAAATTATAACGGACAATGTTATGGCTTCCAAAAAAAGAGAAGTTGCAATTATTAATGTAGAGGACGCAGTATTTAAAAATACAAATAACCCACAAGCATTAATTAAACAACTTAAACCTTTAGAATTGCAATTATACAAAAGCCTTGAAATAGAAAAAGCGTTAGAGGATAAATTAACTTATGCTAAAAAGGAATTAATTCAGTTGAAGGAAGAGAAAAAGAAACAACAAGAAAAGTTAAAAAAACTGGAGGATGCTTTGTTCAAGCTCTTCGAATATAGTGCATCCTCGGATGTACCATTAACTAATTTATTGAACACAGGTAAAACAAAGCACAAGCGTGTTAAAAATGCATTAAATAACATTTTTTCAAATCCTGAAGAGTTTTTCTTTTCAAAAAGTGAAACAGAAAATAATGAAAAAAATGTTGTTAATTTAAACGAAAAATTTCTTGGGAAGAAAAAGGAAAATATACTCGATGACTATGATTTCTAGGAAGCCTTTTTGGTAGACAGTTAATATAAACTTTAAAATTAAAATGTATACAATCTAAATTTATGAACATATTTTTTGTTCGAAGTGATTATTTTATGAAGCAAGAACGTCTTGAGTATAGAGTGAGACCTACAATTATTGTAGATAGAATGGGATAAAAACATAACATTTTCTAAATCCTGATAAACCATTGTATCAAATGCTTAAGAAAAGGCATTTAACCTCAATGATTCTTTACGGAAGACCTGACCTTTAACGGATTCGACAAAGTGGAAAACCATACTGTAGATAATGGTGCGTTAGTTGAATAAGACATTGTAAAAAACGCTCAAAGATTTTATAAATATGAGCGTTTTTCTTTAGCAAATGTAATGTTTTTTGTTATTGTAAGCGATTCACTAATTTTGTTACTGTTTTACTTCTCAAATATTTTTGTACACCAAAACAGAACTACTTAATTTGGGTCATCAGTTTATAATCTTGGTAAGTCTTCAATGGAACTAATTGGGGTGGTTGGAATTGGTTCGAAATTAGTTTCAGTCTTAGCATGGTATAAAGAAATAAAAGCAGGTTTATCACTCTGTTTTGTAAATATTAATTCAATCCTAAATCCTTTATGGACACCGCCTTCGGTGGAACGGAAAAAGCCGTTGATTGCTTGTCCGCCTATTTCTCCAATATTAGGAAAGTAGTTAGTCATGGACATTCCAGGAATACTAAAAGTAGCTTCATTTTGATTTAATGTTGTCATTAAAATAAATTTGCTGTTAGGTTCATAAAACCTTTTTACAGATACAAAATACCGTAGTTTTTGTCTTCCTTCTTGTAATACATGTGCCTGAAGATTTGTAAATACTGGATAATGCTTTTCTTGTTCTTCACCAGTTATTATTTCAATCATTTGAGTCTTAACAATCTCTAGCCCTTCATTATAAAGGTCCAAATATTAAAGAGCAGCAATAACCATAGGAACATCAACATTTTCCGCCCGAATAGGAATGAACTTATATCACTACTGGCT